TTGAAGGAAGCATACATATATCTGGCTATCCCAAAAAGCAAGAGACATTTGCTAGAGTTTCTGGTTACTGTGAACAAACAGATATTCACTCCCCATGTTTGACCATTATGGAATCACTTCTCTTCTCTGCCTGGCTGCGATTACCTTCAGATGTTGACTTGGAAACACAGAGGGTAAAACTCGATTGATGATTAACTTTAAAGTAATTGCCGTGTGTAGTTAACATAAATTGATCAACGATAGTTTATTTTTGTGCAGGCTTTTGTTGATGAGGTGATGGAACTTGTTGAGCTTACTCCACTCGCTGGAGCTTTAGTTGGTCTACCGGGTGTTGATGGTTTATCAACAGAACAAAGGAAAAGATTAACAATAGCTGTTGAACTTGTAGCGAACCCATCCATAGTGTTCATGGATGAACCAACATCAGGGCTGGATGCTAGGTCTGCTGCCATTGTCATGCGGACAGTGAGGAATATTGTCAATACTGGACGTACAATAGTCTGCACAATCCATCAGCCCAGCATAGATATCTTTGAATCCTTTGACGAGGTAATTTCCATTTTTCTTATCCTCCTTTCTGCTCCTTTCTGCTTGAAGACTTGTTTGGCCTCCATGCACTGTTTGTTGGTTGGTTAGGAATAACGACTCTCTACAATGGTATGATATTATCCACTTTGAGCATAAGCTTTTATGGGTTTGCTTTAGGCTTCCCCAAAAAGCCTTGTACCAATAGAGATGTATTCTTTATAAACTCATGATTATTCCCTAAATTAGCCAATGTAAGACTCCCTCTCAACAATCCTCTCCTTGAACAAAGTACACTACAGAACCTTCCCTGAGACCTATGGAGCCCTTGAACAACCTCCCTTTAATTGAGGCTCAACTCCTTCTCTAGAGTCCTCGAACAAAGTACACCCTTTCTTCGACACTCAAGTCACTTTTGACTACACCTTCGAACCTCACAACTTATTTGTTCAACATTTGAGGATTCTATTGACATGACTAAGTTAAGGGTATGACTCTAATATCATGTTAGGAATAACGACTCTCCATAATAGTATGATATTGTCCACTTTGAGCATAAGCTCTCGTGGCTTTGTTTTGGGCTTCTCCAAAAGTTCTCATATCAATGGAGATATATTTCTTATAAACTCCCGATCGTTCCCTAAATTTGTCCAATTTTATGCTCCTGCAGCTTTTATTAATGAAGCGTGGAGGAGAACTCATTTATGCTGGTCCATTAGGGCCCAAATCTCGTGAACTTATCAAGTACTTTGAGGTAAAATCATTTATAGACGCATCTCAACCAACTGCTGCCTCATATTTTTAGCTACACAATTCCTCAGATGCCTCAGTGTATATTATTCAGGCTGTTGAAGGAGTGCCAAAGATCAAATTTGGGTATAATCCAGCTGCATGGATGCTTGAAGTTACATCTGCAGTTGAAGAAAGTCGCCTCGGGGTGGATTTTGCTGAAGTTTACCGGAGATCAACGCTATTCCAGTATGTATCAGTTCATTCTTTAACTTTTTTTAAATTTTTTATATACCTTTTCTTTAACTAACCAGGTTCACTTTTTCTTCAGACGCAATCTAGACTTGATCGAAACCTTGAGCCGGCCAATGAGTAACTCAAAAGAACTGAGCTTCCCAACAAAGTTTTCTCAGTCACCTTTTAATCAGTTCTTAGCTTGCCTATGGAAACAGAATTTGTCTTACTGGCGTAACCCACAGTATACAGCAGTAAAATTCTTTTACACTGTTATTATCTCATTGATGCTTGGAACAATATGTTGGAGATTTGGTGCCAAAAGGTTTCTTTTACTCTGAATTCGATTTTCTTGCTTATCTTGCGATGAACTTGAAGTCCTAAATGGTTATATTCTTTATCTTTTTACAGAGAGACCCAACAAGACTTATTTAATGCCATGGGATCCCTCTATGCTGCTGTTCTTTTCATTGGAATCACCAATGCCACTGCCGTTCAACCAGTTGTTTCAATTGAGCGATTTGTCTCATATCGAGAAAGGGCTGCTGGATTGTATTCTGCATTACCATTTGCATTTGCTCAGGTACTCCTCTTGATGTTTTATGCGTACCTTATGGTAACTGAGTTCCTGAAAGTTTCCTAATGCATTATGTTTTGTAGGTGGCTATCGAGTTCCCTTATGTGTTTGCCCAGACACTTATTTACTGCTCCATTTTCTACTCCATGGCTGCATTTGACTGGACAACTTTGAAGTTTATTTGGTATATTTTCTTTATGTATTTTACCTTGCTATACTTCACGTTCTACGGAATGATGACAACAGCTATCACACCAAACCATAATGTGGGTGCCATCGTTGCTGCTCCCTTTTATATGCTTTGGAACCTCTTCAGTGGCTTCATGATTCCTCATAAGGTAATCCTATAATAGCTTTGTTGTAATAGTCTTCTACACTCAAAATATATATATATATATATATATATATATATATATATACTTACTAAGTAAATAAATAAAGTGATGAAGTAATATGTATATAATACAAATATATGATAAGTTAATATTGTGCGTGTATATATATCAAGTGAGGTAGAGTGGGGATTTGGATGGGGTCGGGGACAGAGATGAGAAATATACTCCCGCCCATTCCCCATTTCGCTAATGGAAGAAATCTTTGTCGTTCTCCTCTCTAGTCTATATGGGGTCTCACAATCCACCCCCTTTCGAGGTCCAATGTCCTCGCTCGTACTCGTTCCTCTTTCCAGTTGATGTGGGATCTCACAATCCACTCTCCTTCTGGGTCTAGCGTCCTCATTAGCACACCGCACAGTGTCCACCCCCCGGGGATTAGCATTTTCACTAGTATACCGCCTGGTGTCCACTCCCTTCGGGGCTTAGCATCCTTGCTAGCACTCGTTGCTCTCTCCAATCGATGTGCGATCTCACAATCCACCCTCCTTTGGGGTCCAGCGTCCTCGTTGGCACACTGCCTAGTGTCCACCCCCTTTCGGGACTTAGCGTCCTCACTGGCCGTCTGGTGTCTGGCTCTGATATCATTTGTAACAGCCAAAACCCACAAGTAGCAGACATTGTCCTATTTGGGTTTTCTCTTTTTGGCTTCCCCTCAAGGTTTTTAAAACGCACCTGCTAGGGAGAGGTTTCCACACCCTTATGAAGAACGCTTCATTTTCCTCCCCAACTGATATGGGATCTCACAATCCACCCCTCTTCAGAGCCCAGCGTTCTCGTTGGTACTCGTTCCCTTCTCCAATCGGTGTCGTTCTCCTCTCCAATCGATGTGGATTCTCACAATTCACCCCCCTTCAGGGACCAGCGTCTTCGTTGGCACTTATTCGTCTCCCCAATTGATGTGGGATCTCACATTCACACTCTCACCGTTCGTTTACATGAGTGAGGAAAAAAAAAAAAAAAAAAATCACAACAAGGTCTCACTTCTATTTCTCTTCATTCTTATATTGATTTTGAGCTGACATAAAGTTGGCTACTTGCAGAGGATCCCAATATGGTGGAGATGGTATTATTGGGCTAATCCTGTGGCATGGAGTTTATATGGACTCCAAGTATCACAATATGGCGATGACAATAAACTGGTAAAGCTATCCGATGGAATTCATTCGATAGCGATACACGACGTTCTGAAGCACGTTTTCGGGTTTAGACATGACTTCCTAGGTGTAGCTGCCATCATGGTATTCGGTTTCTGCTTGTTTTTTGCCACTATCTTTGCTTTTGCAATAAAATCCTTCAACTTCCAAAGGAGATGAGAGGTTAGTTTGATTTTGATTAAACAAATTATTCTTGAAGTTATAAACAATGCAATGACAAAGGTTATAGATTCTGTATAGTAAGTATATGTTTCTTACAGATCACTCATTGTATACTTCTACCTCGGATTTTTCTACATAGAAAGTAATAATATGTTCCTTCTCCTCCCTTTCATCGTCTTCATTTGTTGCAGCCTACATAAAATGAAACAAAAAAAAAAATGAAGAACCATTCGAGCATAGCTCAAGAATTTCACGTGAGATTCAAATATAGATTTCTTTTCGATTTGGGTTGAGTTGAATTTTTAAAAAATTGAAAATTCAGTTAGATTAATGAGTTACATGTTTTGGTCGAGTCAACCTAATTAACTCAAAAATGAGGTTACAATCCATCTCAACTCGACCTAAAACTACTCTTAGAAATATTAAGAATATTTAATGTTTGTAACTGATTTTAGTGATGCATTGTTGTTTGATATTCGAACTTTATAAGATTTTAGTTATGAATGTAATATGTATTGCGTATATTCATTGTCGCTAGTATTGTGGGTATGACTTATGTATCAGAGGTTGGATTATACAGCCGCTATCTGGAATGTACGTTGTAGCATGGACACGGACGAGTTCGATGTTCGAGTGAACTCGAATGGATGAATGTTTGTGATGTCCCGTTAAGATAATTGACACATGGGCTGGGGTGCAATACTGACACACTCGTGTCGTTTGGTACCGTCCTTGAAAAACCTTTTTTCAAAGGAAGATGGTTTTCTCACTCTTCCTGTGATGCTCGCCCACGCTATGACACACGCACGTGCCACAGGGTAGCTCGCTTAGGCCACAGGACCCAAGGGTGATGGAGAGCCAACGTCGTGCCTTCTCCTATAGTACATTTTGCGGCATTTCCAATTCTTAAGTAGATGTCTTTTCGACAAGCAGACATATCGCCTCGTGCATAGTCCATCGAGTATCTGTTTGACACCAAATTTGGTGAGCTTTCATCTTTCATATCAATGGACTTAATTCTCGAGCCGCATACCGAAACTCATATCAAAACTTCGATTTCTGAGGTTATGGACCAGAGCCTACCCAATCCTCTTTGAGCTTGTCTTCGACACTCGTGTCGTCTTGTTCCCTCAAACTTTGCATCTATCTCAACTTATCTTCAATGCAAACTCTTGGTATGTTGGATGATGTACCCTTCTCCTCGGCCACATAATGCACCATCCTCTTGTGTCTGTCTTGACATGTGGAGCTCACCATACTTTCTCTTCGTGAAGTTGTAAACACTATTTGGATGGCTCGGGTCACCCATCCAAAATGGGTCCAAAAAAGTTTCCCAAAACCAATAAGTAACACCCTTAGTTAGAAATCCTTAAATTTTAGGGTGAAAAAACACCCACTTTAGTTGAGAGAATTAGCAAATTTAGCCCAACAATAACTCTACTTGTATTGGGTTAAAGGAGAGCGTGAGGATGGGAAAAAAACAGAGCGTTGTATTTGTTTCTTCTTCTTCATCTTCTTCCTTTGATCTCACTATGACAGTTTATATATAGTTTCCAAATACTGTCCTCTGCTACTCGCCGCCATTACTACTCTCCTCTGTTTCTTCTTCCTCCTCTCTCATAGCTTCTCGCCGGAAAACCATTGTTTTGTCTCTGTAATTCGACAATGGCGTCTGCAATTTCTCTTTGCTCTGTTTTTGTTGTTGTTCTTGTTCTGATTCAGTGGGTCAACTCGGAGCCGACTCAGGACAAACTTGCCCTTCTCGATTTCCTCTCTAAAGCTCCTCACGCCAATCGGCATCAATGGAATACCTCCAATTCCGTCTGTAATTGGATCGGCGTTCAGTGCAATTCCAATCAGTCGTTTGTTTATTCCCTCCGTTTGCCCGGCGCTGGCCTCGTCGGTACGATTCCGGCCAACACGATCGGTAAATTGACTCAGCTTCGAGTTCTCAGCCTTCGCTCTAATCTTCTCTCCGGCAAGATCCCGTCGGATTTTTCTAATTTGGTAATGCTGCAGAATCTGTATCTTCAGGATAATGCATTCTCCGGCGAGTTTCCGCCCAGTTTGACTCGTTTGACTCGGTTGACTCGGCTGGATTTGTCGTCGAATAACTTTTCCGGTACGATTCCGGCGGCCGTCGACAATCTGACCCACTTGACGGGGATTTTCTTGCAGAACAATGGGTTCTCCGGTTCAATCCCGAGAATCTCGGCCGTTAATTTAACAAACTTCAACGTCTCTAACAACAAACTCAACGGCTCGATTCCAAAACCGTTAGTGAAATTCCCAACCTCCTCCTTCGCCGGAAATCTAAATCTCTGCGGCGGACCATTCCCCTCCTGCAACCCATCCACCTCTCCAGCACCGCCGCCACAAAACCCACCAGCCGTCACTGTCGGGAAACCAAAAAACCGGTCCACAGCTGCCATAATCGGGATCATCATCGGCGGTGTCTTCGCCGCAATTCTCCTCCTCCTCTGTATCCAGCGCCGCTCCCACCATCCAGCGAAGTTCCGGAAGCCATCGGCGGCGGCGAGCGCAATCTCGATAGTGGAGGCCGGGACGTCGTCGTCGAAATACGACATTACCGGAGGGTCGGTGGAGGCGGCGGAGAGGAACAAGCTGACGTTCTTCGAAGGGGGAAATTACAATTTCGATTTGGAGGATTTGTTGAGGGCTTCGGCGGAGGTGCTGGGGAAAGGAGACGTGGGAACGTCGTATAAGGCGGTGCTGGAAGAAGGGACGACGGTGGTGGTGAAGCGGCTGAAGGATGTGGCGGCGACGAAGAAGGAATTCGAGATTCAAATGGAAGCTTTGGGGAAGATTAAACATCAAAATGTGGTTCCGCTTCGAGCTTTTTACTTCTCCAATGATGAGAAATTGCTGGTTTTTGATTATATCTCCACCGGAAATTTGTCGGTGAGCCTTCACGGTCAGTACCTCTTCCTTATACTAGGGGTAAATTATTCCGTATCTGATAGTTTAGTTTGAGCTTTCGGAGCTTTATCCTTCTTTAACTTGTACTCGCTCAAGTGTACCACTAGCAAAAATATTATGGGTTGGATGATGAAAGTCTAGATAGGCTAATTTAGGAAATGATCATATGTTTATAATCAAGGAATACTTTCTCGATTGGTGTGAGGCCTTTTGAGAAGCGCAAAGCAAACCATGAGAGCTTATGCTCAAAGTAGACAATATCATACTATTGTGTAGAGTCATGTTCGTCTAACATGGTATCAGAGCCATGCCCTAAACTTAGTTGTGCCAATAGATTGGTAAATTCTCAAATATCGAACAAAGGACTCCAAAAGAAAAGGAGTCCAAGCCTCCTTCGAAGGCAGTAAAAAATGACTAAGACTTCAAAGGAGTCGAGCGTCGATTAAGGAGAGGTGAAGGCAGTCAAAAATGACTAGAGCCTCGATTAAAAGGAGGTGCACTTTGTTCGAGCTTATGCTCAAAGTGAAAGGCAGTAAAAAATGACCGACTCCAAAGGAGTCAAGTCGATTAAGGGGAGATGCACTTTGTTCGAGCTTATGCTCAAAGTGGACAATATCATACCATTGTGGAGAGTCGTGTTCATCTAACATTGTCATCCTTAGGCTTTTCCTTCTGCGTTTCCCTCTAGGTTTTAAAACGCGTATTTTCACACACTTATAAAGGGTGTTTCGTTTCTTCTCCCTAACCGATGTGAGATATCATAATCCAACGTTTCTATACCCTTAGAAAGAGTGTTTTGTTCTCCTCCCTAACCGATGTGACATATCACAATCCAAGGTTTTCACACCCTTATAAATTGTGTTTTGTTCTCCTCTCCAACCGATGTGAGATGTCACAATCCACCCTCCTTCAGGGCTCAGTATCTTCCCTGGCACTCGTTCTCCTCTCCAATCGATATGAGACCCTCAATCCTCCCCCTTCAAAGTTCAGCATTTTTACTGGCACACCATCTCGTGTCCACCTCCTTCGAGGCTCAGCCTCCTCGCTGACACATCACCTGGTGTCTAGTTCTGATACCATTTGTAAAAGCCCAAATTCACGGCCAGTAGATATTGTCCTTTTTTGATTTTCTTTTCCGCAACTCCTCAAGGTTTTTGAAACTAGTGAGAGACTTTCACACCTTACAAAGAGTATTTTGTTCTCTTCGTGACCGATGTGGGATATCACAATACTTGTATGGTTCATTGTGTTAACGTTAAATTTGCATGGTACAGGTAACAGAAGCTCCGGCAGGACACCATTAGATTGGGATTCAAGAATGAAAATAGCTCTAAGCGTGGGCAGGGGACTTGCCTATCTCCACCTCCCCTGCAACCTGGTTCACGGCAACATTAAATCCTCCAACGTCCTTCTCCGGCCACACCACGACGCCTGCATCACTGACTTCGGCCTCAACCCATTCTTCGCCACCGCCACGCCGCCGAATCGTCTCGCCGGTTACCGAGCGCCAGAGGTACTGGAAACCCGTAAAGTCACCTTCAAATCCGACGTTTACAGCTATGGCGTCCTGCTCCTCGAGCTCTTGACAGGTAAAGCCCCCAACCAACAGTCCCTCGGCGAAGACGGCATCAACCTTCCCCGGTGGGTTGAGTCCGTCGTCCAGGAGGAATGGACGGCGGAGGTTTTTGACGTTGAATTGATGCGATTCCACAACATTGAAGAAGAGATGGTTCCGTTGCTTCAAGTTGCAATGTCTTGCGTTTCCACCGTCCCCGATCAACGACCAACGATGTCAGAAGTTGTACGGATGATCGAAGACATGAACAGAAGTGAGACTGATGACGGGTTGCGCCTGTCTTCCGATGACCCCTCTAAAGGCTCCGATGTTAACATGTCGTCGGCTGAATCGAGAACTCCGTCATAGAAAAGGAAAAGGGAAAACTTGATTTTTCCATGGTAGGGTGTCCTTCAAATTGTGTATAAAAAGGGTGAGCATGTTTAATTCACCACAACAAGATGATGTGAAAGTTATCTTATTTATAATCAAATAAATTACAAGGATATGGAAAGAGTAGCAAACCGAAATAAGAATAAATGGAAAGATATCTATGGTAAGAAAATATCAAATATGATATATATGGTAAACTATAATTTTTTATTAAATATCCTTGACAAAGTCAAGTGGTCTGGTTTGATTGTCGAAGTTATTTAGTTTTTTTTTCACTGTTAATTAATAATAAATGAGTATGAGTTTTTTCCCCTTATTTTCAGAATATATTTGATATATTTTATGTGATTTTGAGGATTAGGTTGATAGAATATTTAAAGGTTGTCAACATTAATGAAAATTGGACTTTCAAATTCAGAAAAGTTGCTTTCAAGTTTTACGGCTTTAAGGAGGGTTTAAGTTGTGAGGTCTTATAGACATGAGTACATACTTTTTTTCTTCCTTATTTTAAGCTTAGAACAAATTTTAGTTGATTTGGTATGATACTAAAACGAGAAAACAACTTTTTTGAACGAGTTAATGACCTTCGTATCAAAGAGGAAAAAAAGTGCAATGGTATACCTATAGAAAATGACTAAAAAATGGCCCGAAAATGAAAGTGTTTAGTTTTGTTTTTTTACTATACATATGTGTCAAATACATCAAATTTAAACGTTCTTCAGAGTAGTTTCACGTAAGTAATTAAATGTCTCCATTAGGGTCTTCTCGAGAGGGTTAAGGTTGTGAGGTCTTATAGACCTGAGTACATGCTTTTTTTCCCCTTATTTTACGCTTAGAACAATCTTTAGTGGACTTGGTATGATACTAAAACGAGAAAACAACTTTTCTGAATGAGGTAATGACCCTCGTCAAAAAGAGGAAAAAAAAGTGCAATAGTACACCTATGGAAAATGACTAAAAAATAGCCCGAAAACGAAAGTGTTTAAGTTTGTTTTTTTTTTTACTAAACGTATCTGTCATTCATCAAATTTGAATATTCATTAGAGTTCCGTTGAAAAATATTTGAAAGAAGCTTAGTTTTTTCACATAATGATTTAAGTATCTTCGTTAGAGTCTTCTCGAGAGGGTTTAGGTTGTGAGGTCTTATAAACCTGAGTACATGCTTTTGTTCTTCCTTACACTTAGAACAATTTTTAGTGGATTTGGTATGATACTAAAACAAGAAAACAACTTTTCTCAACGAGTTAATGACTCTCGTCTCAAAGAGGAAAAAAAATGCAATGGTACACCTATGGAAAATGACTAAAAAATGGCTCGAAAACGAAAGTGTTTAAGTTTGATTTTTTTACTAAACGTATGTGTCAAATTCATCAAATTTGAACGTTCATCAGAGTTTCGTTGAAAAATATTGAAAGAAATTTAGTTTTTTCACATAAGTAATTAAGTGTCTTCATTAGGGTTTTCTCGAGAGGGTTTAAGGTTGTGAGATCTTACAGACCTGAGTACATGCTTTTTTTTCTTCCTTATTTTACACTTACAACAATCCTTAGTGGATTTGGTATGATACTAAAACGAGAAAATAACTTTTTTGAACGAGTTATTGACCCTCGTCTTAAAGAGGAAAAAAAGTGCAATGGTACACCTATAGAAAATGACTAGAAAAAAGCCTGAAAACGAAAGTGTTTAAGTTTAATTTTTTTACTAAATGTATGTGTCAAATGCATCAAATTAGAACTTTCCTCAAAGTCTCATTGAAACTGTGAATGTTTGCTGAATCCACCAAACATAAATGGTGGTGAGAGTTCTCTTATTTATAATGATTTACAGAAGAAGAAATACGGTAAATTACAAAAATATGGAAATACCAATAAAAGGAAAGAATAATAAATGAATACAATATATTTGTCTTTAATAAAAGGGTAAATATGATAAGCCGTAATGTAAGACAAATACGGTTTGCCTTATAATGAACGGTCAACTATCCTTAACACCTCCTGCAAGCTGAGCGTCGGATTTGAACGAACGTGAAGCTTGGATCGGAAAAATTCAAAGAAAGGTCGAGAAATACTTTTTGTAAAGATGTCAGCAACTTGGAGATGAGAAGGTACATATTGTGTGCGAAGTTTGCCAGCGATAACAAGTTCTTGAAGGAAATGTTAATCTAGTTCAACATGTTTAGCCCGCTTGTGAGAAACGAGATTAGAGCTAAAAAAATAGCTCTTTTGTTGTCACATAAGAGTAAGGGCTACTGTGAAATAGGGACCTTGAGGTCATGCAAAAGATGTGAAACCCAAAGAAGTTCAGCAGCAGTTGTGGCAAGAGCACGATACTCAGATTCATAACTGGAGCGTGAGACAGTAGGTTGCTTTTTGGCACTCCAAGAAACGAGATTGTTACCAAGATAAATAGAATAGCCGGATGTAGAATGACGAGTATCGAGACAACCAGCCCAGTCAGCATCCCAATAAGTGACTAGTGTACTAGGAATAGTGGATGGACGAAAGGTAAGACCAAAGTGGAGTGTTCCTTTGACATAGTGAAGAATACGTTTGACAGCAAGAAAGTGATCTGCAGTAGGGGCATGCAAGAATTGACTGACAGAATTGACAGCATATGCAATGTCTGGATGCGTAATAGTCAAGTACTGAAGGGCGCCAACAAGAGATCTATAGAGAGTAGGATCAGAGAAAGGAGAACCATCAGCATTCAGGTGTTGAGAAACAACCATGGGAGTGTGGACTGGTTTGCTATCGAGCAACTGAGCACGAGTAAGAATATCTCGAGCATATTTTAACTGACTAATAAAGAGACCATCAAGAGTGGGTGAAGCTTCAAGACCAAGAAAGTAACTGAGAGAACCTAAATCTTTGGTAACAAACTCAGAATGAAGCTTGCGAGTAAAGCTGTCAATAAGAGATGAGTTGTTGCTGGTAACAATAATGTCGTCAACATAAAGAAGCAAATAGATAAGGTTAGATTGCTGATAAAAGACAAAAAGGGATGTGTCAGCGCGACTGCAAGAAAACCCAAGTGTGAGAAGAAATGAGCTAAAACGCTGAAACCAGTCGCAAGGAGCTTGCTTTAAGCCATAGAGGGCTTTCTTGAATAGACAAACATGAGAGGGAAATCGAGGATCAACATACCTAGGAGGTTGTTCCATATGAACACGTTCAATAAGAGTTCCATTGAGAAAAACATTCTTGACATCAAGTTGTCGAAGAGGCCATTTATTTGTGACTGCAATAGAAAGCACAACACGGACAGTGGTAGCTTTGACAACCGGACTGAAAGTGTCAGTGTAGTCAAGACCAGAAACCTGAGTATAACCTTTGGCAACAAGACAAGTCTTGAAATGCTCGACGGATTCATCAGGAAAATATTTAATACGAAACACCCATTTAGAGCCCACGATGTTGGTGTTGGTAGGGCGAGGAACCAAAGTCCAAGTATCATTTTATTGTAACGCTCGAATTTCTTCATCCCTAGCAGCAACCCAAGCAGGATTCTTAGCCGTAGATTTGAATCCTTTTGGCTCAGTGGATGCAAGAAGAGAAGAAAGAAGTCCAAATAAGCCCAAAATATGAAGATTTGCTGGATGATGAGTCTTGAATATACTAGCTTTAGCTCGTGTTATCATAGGATGAGTGCCCAAAGAAGAAGAATCAATAGTAGGTTCAATAGAGGTCGAATTAGAAGTCGAAGGTGGCAAAGTGGAACCTGCAAGAGAAGTATCAACCTGCACAGACTCATCCACAAGGTCAAAACAAATATCACACGGGGATGAACTGGATCGAGGAATGTGCGATGATGAAGTGGTAGGGGGATGAATCAATATGATAAAGATGTGGTTCCAAGAAATTTGAAATAGGAAGAGAGGAAAGAGGTTGGGCCTGGGAGCTAGGGATAGCAAGTAAGTGAGTTTCATCAAATTGAGCATGGCGGGTGATATATAACTTAGTGGTGGCGGGATCAATACAGCGGAACCCTTTATGAGTAGGACTATAACCCAAAAAAATACAGGGAATGCTGCGGGGAGAAAGCTTGTTAGGCATATAATCATGCAAATAAGGATAAACGCGACGACCAAAGGGATAAAAATTATCACAATGTGGAGTGTAGCCATAAAGGAGTTCAAAGGGTAACTTACTTCCAAGAAGTGGAGTAGGTAACCGGTTGATAATATAAGCTGCAGTGCTGAAGGCGTCAACCCAAAAACGAGGAGAAAGATGAGAGTGAAAGAGAAAGGCCAAGCCAGTCTCAGTCACATGACGATGTTTTCTCTTAGCACGACCATTTTGAGCAGGTGTATATGCTGTAGTGCTGAAGGCGTCAACCCAAAAACGAGGAGAAAGATGAGAGTGAAAGAGAAGGGCCAAGCCAGACTCAGTCACATGACGATGTTTTCTCTCCGCACGACCATTTTGAGCAGGTGTATATGAACAAGAGAGTTGATGGTGGATGCCAGAATTAAGTAAATGAGTTTGGAAACAAGTGCTAGTAAATTCGGTACCTCCATTGCTTTGAAATAACTTGATATGAGAAGAATATTGATTTTCCACAAATTTTTGAAATTGAAAAAAAATATCAAAGAAATCAGATTTAATTTTTAAAGGGTAAAGCCAAGTGAATCGAGAATAATCATCAATAAAAATAACATAATAAAGAAAACCCGAATTTGATTTGACGGGAGAAGAACCCCAAAGATCACAATGAATAAGATCCAACACATGAGACGACCTACGTTCATTGCGGGAATAAAGCAATCGATGACTTTTCGCAAGCTGATAAGTATTACATAACGATGGAGAAGACAATAAAGACGTAAGAGAAAGATGACCGTTTCTATTTAAAAAAAAAATAACAGAATGATTCATATGACCCAGACGAGCATGCCATAAATCATATGAAGCACGTAAAGATTTGTTTCTAAGGACTGAAATAAAAGTAGAGTTGTCGCGCTCCAGCACATATAGCCCTCTATCTCTTTTACCGGTTG